GCACAGCGGTGGCGCAAGCGTGGTGGCCGTGCTTCTCGGCGTGCTCGAGCGGCGAGACACCCGCGTTGTCCTCAAGGGCAATGTCGATCTTGGGGTGGAGGAGGAGCTTCGTGACGGTGTCGTAGTCGCCCTTGGCACACGCGCGCGCGAGCTGCGCCCGGCCCTTGGCGTCGACATCATTGATCGCGTGGTCGAGGTTCCGCTGCGGGCTGCTGATGCTGCTCATGGGCGAGGCTGCAAATTGCAAAATAGCGATCTGACGCATGGTTACGAATGAAGAAAGGATTCTGTATTCCCAGGAGCACTTCTATGGTGGCGATTGACGACGGGACTACTGCGCCTAAGATCTTATAGAACCGTCGTCAATTGATGCCGCAACACTGCGCCTAAGATGTCGAGACATTTCCTGGCAGGAACCTCAGCTGGACAGTAGTTGACGTTGTAAGCTCAGTCTAGGAACGTACAGTAGTGTACCAGCCTAGATCATGGGATTGATCCGTGTCGTGTCTCGACCCGGTGACCGGTAGTCTGCAACATATTCACGCAGCATGTTGGGCGACGGCATCAGCATCAGCATACGTCCAAGCAAGCGTGAAGCTCGTGGCGACAAATAAACTGTACCTATGTGAGCTGTACCCATGTGAGCTGTACCCTTGAGCTGTATGTGAGCTGTACCCATGTGAGCTGTACCCTTGAGCTGTACCGACAGTTCATGCAAAATGCCAACAAACCAGATGGTTTACAAGCGGAGTCGACAGAGGGGATTGTCACAGTCCCCTCTGTCGACTCGTGCTGTCGACTCCCTAAAAAGGACACGGGAAAGGCCGCACGTTTCCCAACGGTGGCGCAAGCTCCCCGAATTGACAAACGCTAACGTGGTACAGTGACCATGCTTCGCCGACATTCTTTCGACGCACCTTGCGCATCGTCACAGAGGAATGGCTCGAGGTTTTCCGCACAAGTCCGAGCGATCCAGAATATCAAGATCTAAAACGAAAACGCAAGATCCAAGATCCAAGATCCAGACGCAGAGCAAGCGAGCTCAAGCCATTTCCAAATTGGTAGTCAAGTAGCTAACCCGCCTCGCCCACCACTGGCACGGCGGACGCCAACACGGTTGTTGTCCCCAAGTAGTTCGGTCTTGATTGAGGAAGTTTGTCTTGGCCGTGGATCGCGAGCTCGAGTGAATCGAACGTCTATGCACATGACCAGAGCTCCAGCGCTCCTTCCACGGTGTGCGTGGCGCCTAGCTATGGCGTCTTGAAGGCCCATTTCAGCTAATCTTCTCTCTCGTATCACCATGTTAAGATGTGTGCGTTCACATCTAGTCCTGCTCTCGAGTATAACTTTCACACAAACCGCTCCTTGCAGTGTACGGAGGTGTGGCGGGAATCTTGATCGCACATAGACACCCAGTAAACGGCGCTCAGTGTAAAGGCATCTTGGGGGATGAGGTGCTGGAAAGTCTGCAACGCCACCTCAACATCTTCTCCGACGACTGCAAACGCAAACTCTGCAGTGTCCAAATGACTCTGCCTCGCAACATTCGGCCTCTTGTGGTCCTCTG